CGAAGCCCATAATCCTCCTGGACCTTTGCAGCCTCTTCCCAAGCCGCGATTGGTTCCTCTGATCTGGAGGATGGCCTCCGACATGGGTCGCCATGTACCTTGTGATCGCTGACCTGACGGGAATCTGGCAAGAGCCAATCAACAGGAAGTAACCCCGATCCCACCAGACACAATGCCGTCCATTTGCAGAAGGAGTGCTCGTCAGGTTGTCATTTCTGTTACCAAACAGCGCCCATGTCACACAAGCGGAGGATATTCTGGTCTGATTATCCCAGGCTCTCGTCTGCACCTCTCCCCTCATCTCCCTCTCTCCCACGCTCCCTCATTACGTTCAAAGCGTTTGCCTTTGTGTACTGTACATGCCACATTTGTACCATTTATAAGCTGCGCTGATGGCCGACAAAACACTTCAATGTTATGGGATTTGTGCTAACGAGCCCCGGGCGGGACCGCGGTAAAACGCAGCGTTGGCTTCAGACGCAGCAGCCGGCTGTGCAGGCCATGAAGCCGGATTCCGATCCTGACATTACTGCGCAGAGAAACGAGGGATGAAGAGGATGGAGGCGGTGGGTAAAAAATAAAAATAAAATAGCTGGCATGAAATGAGGTGGGCCAGGCCTTGCAGAAGCAACAGCAAAGCCAAGGAGGCATCAAGGCGTTAGCACAGGAAGCTAAACTCCCACATCTGCATTTAAAAATCAAATTAGCAGCTGTAGCAAATGGGTCAAGCTTATAAAACCTACAGTAACAGATAAATAGCAAGAAGCGGTGATATTCTCTCCCATACTGCGAGAAAATTAGAGCCACATTCTTTAAGGAAATAAATCCCAACGAACATCTTGGAAAAAGAAAAGATCAAATTGTTTTACATTGTACTGTGGAGGACTCGTGTGAATTATTATTATTTTTATTTTTTTTTACATTACTGTAAATAATTCATTTTGTTGTCACAGCATGCACTTCCAGGAATCTCTCCCAAATCCCCAGCAGCTTTGGAAACTTTGGCTCATGTCAGGCAGATAAAACAGAAGAGAGCTAAGGCGAGAGATGGAAGGATTGGGGGAGAAAGAAGAAGGGAGGAGAGAGAGAGAGAGAGAGACAGCGGGAGTTTTATGTCACGTTGGCCGTTCTGGTCAATGCCGGCACAATCCAAGGGCTTTAACTCACGGCTGACAGCATCTGCTCTGGGGTGAATCATGCCGACGGAACCTCCCAGAGCCTCTGGTCCACCGCGGTCTTCTGCCGCAGCGTCCAAAATCAGCTCGGAGCTCCCGGCTCAGTGTCAGCAAGCCACAAAAGACACCCCCCCCTCATATCTTTTGTTTCTGTGTTTCCCAGCAAATGCTCACCGAGGACTGAAGTGTTTGTCAGACAGATCTGAAATTCATGCCGGGATGGGGCCAGTGGAGCCCGGCGGGCGGCTGGAGGTCCGCTATCGACCCCGCGTCGTGTTCTGCATCGAATTCCAGGCTTTTCTAATCCTCCGCGGCCCCTGCCGTTCAATAAGCCATTAGCGGGAGAGGGGACATGCGCGTCAGCCCATCCTTTGGGCCCCGACACCACAATGCATCAGCCCTCTGGGCACCGACATGCCAACAGCCGCCCCCAACGCATGGATAGGCCACGCCCTCGTCGATGCCGCCAGTGTCGATGTGATCCAGTGGGGTCTGTGCAAACCCACCCTGGCAGGCTTCGTTTCAGCCGTGGCTGCCACCTGTTTCCTAGCTGGGTGTGAGCCCACATACGTTGGTGAGCACGCAGACTGTGAGTCCACGGCACTCTGTGCAGGCTCAGGCTGCATAGTGCTGACAGATACTAACAGCGTTTCACCATTTAGCCGTATCCAGCACCAATGTGTTCCGCACTCCCACACAGATACTGTAAATGGCACAGAGAATACAGACACAAGAAGCACAGACACTGTAAGCAGCACAGAGGATGTAAACAGCAGAGAGCACATAGACACTGGTAAGCAGCACACACACTGTAAACAGCACAGACACTGTAAATGGCACAGAGAACACAGACACTATAAGCAGAACAGACACTGTAAACAGCACACTGTACACATTAAAACAAAATATGTAAAGAACACACACACATTATTTGAATACATAAACACACCATACCTATTAAATCATACAGTATTTACAGGACACACACACACACACCCTGTACTCTGCATACTCTCTCAACTTAACACACAAGTATATCACACCACAGGTCACCTGACCGCAGAAGAAGACCTCACCTCCAACCACCCCCCCCACCTCGCCCCCGCCCCAACCTGCCCCAAAAGGGGAAGCGTCCTGCTACTATCAGTAGCTTGTAGCCGCACGGCCTCCAATTACTACGACAAAACGATAAGAAAACAGAGACGTAAAGGAAGAGTGGGGACGTCATCTTTCACCCCCGACTCGCTTCAAAGCTGGGATATGAAGAATTTAAAGCCCTGAATCTTTTAACGCTCTTCAGGGACTCGCTGAACCCGTAGCTGGGGGCCAGATAACAGTACTCAGCCCTCGATACAGCGCGGCTCACTGGCACTCATTTGATCTTCCGGAAGCGGCGTTTGGGAATGGGGGGAGTGCAGGGAGTGTGGGAGCGGCAGGGCGTCATGGGGGGGGGAGGGCGAGTAGCGGCAGGGGCTCACCAACACGGTCACCACTCGCAGCACGATGCCTCTCATGTTGTTTTCCAGCTTCCGGTCTGTCAGCGTGCCGTTTAGGCCGTGCACCGGGTCCCAGGTGGCGAGCTGCAAAACAAGCAAACGTTCAGTCACAGGAGGCCGATGAGGATGAGGATGAGGATGCACGCCAGCAAAGGGAGGCTGAGGAAGTTAACGAGGACGGGCTCCGGGACCGATGCATGTTCCACTGCAGTCTACTCAACATGCAACACCTACAGTTTACATACTGAATGTAAATACTGTTGTGCATTATGCATTCTTTTGTCTCTTTGCAACCAAGAGCTTCACCACACATCGTAAGGCATATAACTGTGTGTGACAAATAAAACTTTATCTGATTGACTGACTGACGCTCATTAAATATCGCACATAAAAACACAGAAATGTGCAGGAAATGTTGAGCTCTACCTCATTATCAGCTCACAGCACACGACTGAATGCGGCTACGAACGGCAGCTCAAAGCAGCTGTAAGGAATGTCATCCTTTTTTAAGGAAAGGGAATCCTTCCCCACATAGAGGTAGCACATCAAACGCAAAAACAAAGGGATGGACATCTGTACGGGAAAATGGCGAACAGAGGGCTTATCACGCCGAACAGGATGCCAAGTGTTATGGCACCTTAGCACAGAAGCTTGATAAACATGCGTGGTCCCGACACTCAGTGGCATGCAGTCTTACCCAGTGATTCCCACTTATTCACGTTTCTGTCTGCTCAGCTCTCCCACACACTCATTTATTTATCTGCCAATGCCCATCGTGCATATGTAAATTCATATTTATGCATATATGTCCATGACCATCTGCTGAAACGGCCGCATAGGGCTAAGGGATGGGATTTACCAGTCCGTCACAGGGCGGGCACACACACACGCACACACGGTACGGGGAACCCAGAGATGCCAATTAGCCTGTCTGCATGCCCCTAGGCTCTGTGAGAAAGTCTGAGCTCGTTGCTATCGCACATGATACAGGGGGAACTTGCGAACTTCATACGCACAGAGCGAGAGCTGCAATTTGGATTGTGGCCACACTGCAACTCTTCAAACCACCGCGCCCCAACCTAAATATCCATGTTTACTAACTTCCAAATGTCACGTATGTATTGCTTGCTGAATGCGTGACACTGTCTTGTCTGTGTCTCTTGTGTATGTGTAGCAGAATCAGACCAAACACAAATCCCTCCAACCTGCCTGTGCACCAATAAAGATTCCTGTTCCATCCTACTGCAATGACAGGCCTTCAGGCTCATCTTTTGTTTTAAAGTTACTCTAACAGGGGTCGGTGTGTGGCTTGGAGGGTCATGGCTCTGTGTTTGCAATCAGAAGGTCACCATGGGCCCTTGAGCAAGGTCCTTAACCCCTGGAAAAATCCTCCGTGGCCAACTTTGCTCTCACCTATATATGTGTGTGTATGTCTTTAAAAAGGAGAGCGAGACGGGACATTTGAGCAAATGGCAAATAAGGCTTCATTTCATAAAGGCAAAGATGGGTTAAATGGCTGCAGTGAGTCCTACGGGGCTGACGGGCTGGGAGCAATGTAAGCACCACGGAGAGGGGGTGGCTGGAGACCATAGAATTTGCAGGAAAGGTCCTGCCAGGTCATAACCTACAGCAATGTCTCCTCAAGGCTTCCCTGCCTGAAGGAAGCACAGAAACGCTAGCGCCCCCTTGTGATGACTCCCAGTCATATAAAGCTAATGTACATTCCTTCTGGCCACTCCAGATGCATCACCACCATCTGACCTCCCTGGGCAGCCACCCGCCCACACCAATACCAGGACAGTCAGCTGGTAAAAATAGCCAACAATCACAAGCCTTGATCACTCAAAGCCCTCGACATTTAATCAATAGATTCATCTCTAGCAAGACAGCTTATTCATTCTGACAAAATGGCGTGTCAGGTCTTAAAGTCGTCCCGCAGATAGAGATGTAGCGATGGCTGCGATTTTCGCTCGTGCTATATGGACGCATTCGCCATTTTTTCATTATCGAAATGAAAAACGCCCAGTGCTGAATCCACTGGGCTGAGGGATTTACACTCGGCAAGTTCCCTCCCCAGTCTTCCCATAACACCACACACCCGTCACCCCAATACCACTGGATGGGGCAAGCCGACGCCACTATAAATGTCACGCATAGCATTTCTTGCGAGGACTCGACTCACTGCGAAATGCCATGAATTATGATGTACAGCCGATTATTAAAACCTCCGCTAAACAATAGTGTCGGCAAACCAATTTGGCCGCGCGGAGTCCACAAACTCTAATGCGCTATACGGCGCCTTTCCTTCCCTCCATTAGCGCCGTGGAGAAGAAACCCAGCACAGTAATGATTCATAATCAAATCCAGTCTCACCAAATATCACCGCATGTCATTGATGACATTATTATGCAATTTCCCCGACAGTGATTTGCATAGCATCTAGACCGAGGATCAGAGTTAAAATCGAATCATTCGCAGAATACGGTGTCGTTGTGAAACCTTATACCGTGAGGGTCACCCTCCCCCTCCAGTGGAGATCATCTCAGATGACAGTAAATAACTCTGCCCTCCTGATCTCTGGGTTAGAATCCATCAGCTCTTTTCTACGGGAGCTTCTGACGTATATTGGAAGTCCATTGATGGTCCGACTTGCAGGGCATGTATCCAAGTGAATGTCCAGGCACTAGGGGGAGTAGAGGAGGTGTGGCGTGTGTGTGAATCTTACAATATCTGGAGGGGCAGAGACTCTGCTGATGAATGGTGTGTCAGCAAGTTAGCACACTGTGCTTATGATAGGAAGGTCATTGGTTCAAATCCTATTGTCGACAAAGCATTTTTACCGTTTTGACCCCTGAGCAAGGTTTTTAACCCCCAACAGATCCAGGGACTGTCTGACCCTGCCTACTCAATAGTACGTCCCTTTAGATCAGAGTATCTGCTAAATAAGGATGCACAATTCACAAAACCAGACGTCAACAATGTGAGGGTCGCCAAGCCTTTGGACCAAAAGTTCTAGTCCCAGGAAGGGTAACAGTTGTAGAACAAAAGAACAACATGCCCAACAGCTGTGCAGAAATAGCTACAGTAGATGCATGCAAAATGTATATAAATAGCTGAAAGTGTAATGTGATCCAGCCGCCGATGTAATTAATGTCTCCCATGGCCCTTTGAGAACCCAGGGGTGTTCAACATACAGTAGGTGGGGGGACCCCTAAGGGGGGAGTGCAGTTTTTCCCGATTTCAAACTCCCACCTGCACAGGAAGCCTGTTTAACATCTGATAAAAATGAACCTTTTTTTGTTGAAATGCTAGGAGAATAGCCAGTAAACGCTGACAACAGGAGGACTGAGAATGAGTGTTGGTGAAATTCAACCCGGACACATCGTCAAGCTGCCCAGCCTCAGTGCCACCACGAGCTGCACTGGCACAAGACGGTGAGCCATTACATCACAGGGCGCCATGGTGCTGCCAAATGAGGTGTGCAGAGAAGCCCAGGGCATTGTGGGAAGGTAAGAGAGATTAACGTCAGTATTCATTCCCAATCAAGTCTTCCTATTAACAAACACGAGTATAGTCAGTATGACCACTCTTTTTGGTTTGTAGATAATATATAACATTTAGAAAATGTTCTCTCTCTCCCCCCACTCTCTCTTTATATATTTATATATATAAAATATATAAAAGATTGGGTTTTACTTCAAGTACAGATTATGGATCATGCAAAAATCATCGTGTCTTAAAAGATCTCAGCAAATCTGGGGTTTGATTAATATAATTAATGCTCTCCAAAAATCAGTGCCACTTGGCAAAATTCAAGGCCAACCAACATCCACCAAATAATGTGAAAGACAGTCTAAAGACGTGGGTGGCAAATGTCAAATACTAGACCATTTGGTCTTGACTGGGTGTGTTTATTGATTGGACAACCATTTAAGGAATGCCACATGTATTATCCTATCATTTTGGGCAGTTTAGCAAAAAACAAAAGAGCTATTTTTCTGTCCTGGCAGAGGAGGAGACTGAACTAGCAAGGGAGACAGAAAGGTATCAGCTAGTCTAACCTCCACACACAGTGTGGGCTCTGAAGCCAGACCTCTTGATTAAAGGTGAAATCTCCGACTCCAGAGTTCCCTGTGGCGAAAGACCTCAGGAGATGCTCACAAATCCCAGGCTGAAGGCTGTGCAGAGTTTTTCACCTGCAGACAAAAGGTTCAACTCTACGTGACTGCCAAGCACAGAGACAAAAACTCTGACTGTTGGTGCATAAGGACCAAAAGCCAGTTTGGAGTACTCAACCTACACAAAAAGATTAATAAAACACCAGATTTGCTGAGATTTTTTAAGACACACTGATTCTTGCATGATCCATAATTTGTACTTGAATTAAAACCCAACGTTTATACACATAAATATATATGAGAGAGTGGCTGGGAGGCTTCTCTGCAGGGTTGCTGGACTGTCTCTCTGTGATGTGGTGAGGAGTCTGGAGATATGGAGAGACACTCTGGTCTGACTGGGAGGCATCACTGTTGACGTGGGGAGTGATGGAGATACCTGGATCTGTGTGACTGAGAAGAACCATCTCCCAGTGGTATAGAGGATCGCACATTTCTGGCAAAGCCGACGCCACGGTACTGGAGAGGAGACTCCACCCGCTGATCAAACCGAGGATTGTAGGAGTAACAATGCCGATTGCAGCCAGCTCTTATCCTTCATGCAGCTGGCTGGGGGCTTGTGGGAACATGCTAACATAGTGTACATGTGCTTTGTAGATGTGACTGCGGGAGGGGTTGCAATAGCATGAGGTACCGGGAACAGCACCGTATTCAGCCCCAGTATGAGTGCAGTGAGGGACGTGCCCACATCAGAGGCGCAAAATCAAAGCTGTTTTGAGCGAATTTCAGCCTCCGGCAAGAATCCTTGTTATCTCCTCTCCTGTTTTCTGATTTTCATGGACGAGATATCAAGGCACAGTCGTGGCTGGCTGGGCGTCTGGTAGGAGGGGCTAGAAGTTACACCCCTGCTATTTGCTGATGGTGTCAAGCTTTTGGCCTCGTCCGACCAGGACCTCCTGTGCGCGCTCG